TGATGACGTGCGCGTATCCAACTACGACGACGACGACGTCGACGAAGACTATCAGGACAACGTCACTGGTGAGTGTTGCGCGAGAGATCGCGCTGTGGACATGTCGCCAGCCAATGGATTATATCGGTCGCCGTCCCATTTCCCACACACGGATTTAATAACGGGATCGTATCGTGGGCGTGAGAGACTCGTAGTGACGAGACGAGTCGTTGTCGTAGTGGGAAAATCGCATCGATGGAATAGGCGTAGATTCTATTCTGGGTGAAAGCTCGGGGGATTTTCTAGTGATACGAGTAATCCTTGGATAATCGTTTCGATATCGATTCGAATATCGGGGTGAAGTGGTGAAAATAGCGAGGGAGGAGGGGAGGGAGGGGGAATAGAAGTGGAAAGAGAGAAAGAAGGAAAGAGGTGTATTTGAAATTTTTACAGGGACCGACTAGGTGTTCCATTCGTGTATATATTTGCAGCAGGTAAAAAAAATATTAGCCTTACGATTACGAGCCTCGTTGCATTTCTCTTTCGTTGCATCGAAAGCATCTAATTCGTATATGGATCGATACCGCTCCTACCGTTCAAGGATCGTTACGTTATTTTCTCGCGAAACAAGGACGATCGAAGAAACGCGTGTGCCTCGAGATTCTTGCTCGCCTCGCCTTCTTCGCGCCTGCTCGATACGGATGTGCAAACACTTCTTGCTCCAGAACCAGCGAGCAAACACTTGTTACTGTCATTGTTATCGTCATATAGACGTTCTCTCTTCGTCAGATGATAAGTAGCCCTCGTCAGGCCTCATTAAGTCCAACGAGGAGGCCGAGGTAAATGTTACGAAACGCTGCAAAGTTCACCACCACCACCACCACCACCACCACCACCACTACTACCGCTCTTCTCAAAACCTAGCTATCAAAGCGACGACAAACGAATCTTCTTACGTAACGAACAATTTTTTCTAAGATCGTTCTAAGAACGATTCAATCCATTTTCCTCGAGCCCCGAATCAATCTGAATCCTAGAATAATCGTTTAGAACGAGATCGAATTCGAAGAAGAGGCGAAGAGAGACGGCACATTCCAGATTCGCGAGTGCGCCTGCGTCTAGGTAAACAGGAGAGGAACTCCTTTCCTTCTTGATTTTCGCGCCAACCACGCTGCCGGTATTGATTTTAATGGATGCTGCAAGCTCTCGCCTCTGTGTCTGTGGGAGTTTGTACACCGCCTGCATCTGCGTGAGATTTCAAAGAGATCTCTATTTCTTCTCTCTTTCCACACCTCGCTCTACACCCCTTCCAACCCGCGATATAAGAGAGGAGGAGAGAGGAACGGGGGAAGAAAGTTAAAAAAGAAAATATCGTGCGTCATTCACTCCCGTTTCCTCGACCCATTCACCGAGAAACCTCCACTTAACGGGAACTCGGATTGAGAGGAACATTCGGCGAACAACCGCACCCTTATGATCACGTGCCGTGAACTTCTTGAACCAGGTCAAAAAGCATAATCCCAACTACTCTATTATTTACGTGACGCAGCAACTTCGGCCTCTCGATCGATTCTCCCCATTCATCCATAATTTCCAATGTTCGATTACAATAACGTGGATTCCAGAATTTAATTTCGTTCGATCTCGAACGAAATATAATGTCATCCGTCGAATTAAGATTAAGATAATCTCTTTTTAACGAATGAATCAAAGCGATAATAGATTTCGAGCGAACGAAATATCGCGTGTTGCGAAATCCATCGTGTGTCGCAATACCATACGTTTCCTTATTAATTCTTTTACTTTTCGATTCGACCGTTGCATACGTGATCAATCTGGATCTATTTCCAGAAAGCATAAATAGAAATTCCACGATCCTCGACGGAAGGAAGGTTAATTAGGATAAAGAGAACATGACACGAGTGTGTAATAGTATCTATACATCGTTTTCTGAACGTTTGCCAACGAAGCTGATCATTGCCGCGATATCAGCCTCCTTAAACACGGCCCAAAGTCACGAGACGTTTAATAACGATATAATGCGATAATTAAGGGAAAAATCGATAGGGTGTTTGGCGCGATGCCTGCGCCCGGTAACCCAATGAAAATGGCGCAATTATCCCGAAGGAGATTTGGCTCGTTAATTTCTCTAATCCAAACGCTTGATAAGAAGAAAAAAAAAAAGAAAGAAAGAAAAAAAATTTATCCAATTTATTCGTCTGGTGAAATGTTGGCTGGTCGAGGTTTCAATTCCGCGTGGAGAAAACGTCATTGGAAAAATCGACGACGCGAGAAGGACGCAGTCTCGACGTCGTCTACAAAGGCGCACCAGATATCAAACATCTTTTGATGCGAGAAAGTGGCCTGGATAGAGTGTGTAACAATGGCTTCTTTGCTTCATTAATCGTTCAGAATGTATGCTTATTCAGGGGCTCGGGAAACGAACGCCCGTGACAACGGGCCGTGGCTGCACGTCAAAGAGGAGGAGGACAAGAGGCGTGTATCGGATCCGGGAATAATAGTTGAAAGAGAATGATATCTTTATCGGAAAACTAAGTGACAATGGTGAAAATAATGGGGAGCGCCATTCGCGAGTGATTCTTTTGTAAGAATGTATTATCGCTCGATAAAATAACTTGCGCGTACCTCGAATATATACGTATACGTTTCTTTAATTAAAACGAACCAGTAAATAAAACGAAATAAATATTTAAAAAATTTTTTTTTTTAATTAGATTAAAAGGGTCAAACGAAATGGTCGTAAGTCGTTAGATTCGTTTTAAAAAATTGCTACTGCACGTTATTCGTTATAACGACTCGAAATTCGCAGTTTCTTTGAATCATTGACACGAAAAAGATATTATTGAGTATCAAATATTGCGCGTTTTCAATTTGACATTTCGACGTGAAAAGAAAAACGAATTATTATAATTGTTATAAATATATATTGCATGTTATATACGCATACGTGTGCGTTGCACAAGATTTAAACGAAGATCGTATCGCTCTCGAGGATTAAAATAAAACTACTCTATCTGCAGACTGAATTGATTAAATTTTTGAATAGAACGAGGGATCAAGTGCGACGCAACTAGTCGATGATTGGATGAGTAGCGTGAGCTATTTTAAGAAATCAACCTAGATATTTCATCTACTCATCGAGAAACGTCGTAGATAATCTAGCGTGCTTATCGATTTTGTCTGTTTTCAGCGAAGGGGCAGCAGCTGGGCTCGCCGTGCGATGTCTCGTGCAATCCGAAACTGCAGCACGTGTTCTGCGACACGGTCACTGGTTTCTGCGAGTGTGAAAAATTCTATCCAGTTCGTCTCGGCCCCTCGAAAGGATGTGCCAAACGTACGTACTCCGTACTCTTGCATCGGTGTATCGATATATTTTCCAATTTCAAGTAGGTCGTTCCGATAGTATCGAGAAGCACACAACTCGTGTAAACCGAAGCAAAGAAAATAAACGTCGATTGTTCTATTCAACCAAATGAAAGAAGAAAATATTTTACACGAAGAAACACAGAAACTGTTATAACAAAAACTTTGAACGAATCGTCTATTTTCTTCTCTTCCTTCCTATATCTTTCGTAATTTAATTTTGACCTTATCTATGAAAATAATCGGAAGAGGAGGAAGAAAGAAATCGAATCGAAATACATAAAACAGCGAGAAGTAGAGGAAATAATAAAACCCGTTTTTCCAGCTAAAAGACTCGGGGAGCAATGTTTCTATCGCGCGAGTTGCACTTTTGCGGATCAACACTCGACCTGCACCCAGGTGCAACACAATGCCGTATGCGACTGCGAAGAGGGTTACCATAGAGTTTCCTTGTCCAGGCCTAGCAAGAAGGTGTTCTGCGCCGAAGGTATATCGTGCCTAAGCTAATACGTCACACTGATTCGAACAGCACTCGAATACTCGTAGTATATATTCGTATTGCACGATTACAATTTAGAGAAATGTAGATCTTAACTCCTCTTCCTCGCGGAATCTACCGTGTTGAGAAATTGTTCCTGTAGAACACCTGTAGAAGACGTATTAAAGCGTTTCGTTTCCTTTAATTCGTTGGCAGATCTGGTGCTGATAACGACAGATATTCCGACCCTGCTCTGCATAGCATCGGGAATAGCGGTATTCACGGCGATGATATGCTTCGTGCTCAAGTTATTCAGCCGCGCGAGATACTCAAGACCGCGGCACTATGCCAACGCCAATCACGCGCCTCCTATGCTCTTCTCCAGCGACACGGGTGAGTATTCATGATAGACGCCCGAGCAAAACTTTTATTCCATTGTGTCGACTTTTTTTCCTTTTCTTTTTTTTTTTTCTTTTTTTTTATTTTCTTATTCAATCGCGATGAAACGATTTGCTCATGAACGTGTCAAGGATACTCCACACGCTATACTCCATTAAGAACTCACTCTCGTCGCCGTAAAATCGATAGAGGTTAAGTATCGATGAAGAACACCAGTCCGAAGACGCCTATTTTCGTTTCACCCTCGTTTCAGACCTTGAGAGTGAATCTTAGAAACCCTAACGATCGTAGACCAGTGCTGTCCACCGGTTGAAAGTTGCTTTTCCTATTCGTATCCGACGTTAATGTTGAAGTGAGGGAAATTTATCGGAAATTTGATCGTGCTTGAACGATCGTTAGTTATCCATTAGTATCGTATAAATTTTATAATTTTGATTGCTGATTAAAAACGATCCAACAGGTATTCCATTGACGCTTCACGGTGGCCGACCATCGTCGCGTTCCAGTCAGAGGAGCAGCACAGGAGGACCGTTGACCTATGCATTCTCCAGGAGGCCTAGCAGCGGTGGTAGCCGCGGTCCCCTGGTACCATCGTCGAGAGCAGGTGCGGCACGTGCCGCCGCCATCTTGCTTATATCGTGTCACCTGCAGGCGACCAAAGGCGGGAACAAGCATCGACGTACCCTTAGCGATGTTGCTGAGGGATCGTCCGACGGCCTCGGTAGACGATCAACGATCTTTCTAACTCTTTCGTTTTCTGTCTTCTATTCTCTTCTTTCTATCCGCATCTCTCACACTCTGTACACCACCTGTGCGTCCGTTGTTAATACTCCCTTTAATACTTCTTCTTCTATTTCTTTTTCTATTTCTTCTTCTTCTTCTTCTTCTTCTTGTTCTTCTTCTTCTTCTTCTTCTTCTTCTTCTTGTTCTTCTTCTTCTTCTTCTTCTTCTTCTCGTTCGAATTTTCCTGTCCTCTTTCATCCTTCTTTCAT